GACTGAAAATGGTGTGATTTTTAGCGCCCTCTGCCTTTTTAATGACCCTCTGCCCTGGTCACGAAGAAGTGGATGTGGGCTACACAAGATTGAGGGATATTTTGTATTTTTTTTTGTTTGCTTCATGAGTTGTCATGGACAAAAGACAAAAACCACCACCACCACCACCACATGGCTAGCCTCTCTCCCTAGTTGGCTGGGTTGGTCCTTAGAAAGAAGACTCAGTCTGTTACTGGGGTCATATTTGAAGCTTCATCGACTGAACCTGAAAAAGATCCACTGGTATAGCTTTTGAGAACCCAGAGTCACCTTTATGCCATTATGGGGCATCAGAGTAGAAACTTTGTGAAAGTAGAAAAATTTAAAAACAAATTTAAAAACAAAAAAGTTACCTTGTCATAACTTGCAGTTAAAAATGTAGTAGCTTGCTATATCCAGAGAGAGGCTCTTTATATTCAGAAGAACATATGATACATAAAATTAGGGTCATCAAGCTGCCATTTCTGGAGTGCTTAAAGGAGATCCTTTGAACCAAGAGGATAAAATTTCTTGAGATCTGTTTGAATCACTTGATTCAAACAATTCTGTGACCCTAATATAAATCTTTTTGATTTTTAAGATATTGCCTTTTTTCTGGGAAAGCACAACCCAATCTTTTGTTTATGAGTTGATCCTCAGCAACGATTTGTGCCACTTGGCTTACTCTAATAGCAAAGAAAGGACCCACAGGTGCCAGCAGATCACCCTACTGCCCAATCTGTTGGCTCTTGCTGCTTCATTTGTGGTCACTGAGGAAAGTGACCAGAGGTAATAAGTAATCGTTCTAAAGTAGAGAATGGTCAGGTGATGGCAACGGGTGGAATCTTTGACCCTTGGACGTCCTAACACAACTTGGATTATGAACTTGTAAATGAGCTTCAGCAAATTGCTTGACCAGAGAGTCTTTTGAATTTTTTCCAAGACAGTCACGTGTTTTTATTTTGGGAGGCATTTGTACTGTATCAAGTGAAAAGGACATTGGAGAGGGGTGGGGTGGCAAGTAGAGGAGAGGTGAGGTTACTAGGAAGATGGCCAGGTAGACATCTGTTCTATTTATTATGGAGATAGCTTTGAGAGGATTTGGCTTTGGCTTCAGCTGTGCTAGGGAGGGCTCAGAGAGGGTAAGTGTAACTATGTAGGCAAGTTTGGATTTGAGTGAATATTCAGGAAATCATGACAGAATCATGAGTATGGGGATGACATGATGAAATGATGGTAGTTAGTATGGGGGATGTTTGCAGTGGCTGCAAGGATGCTGACCCACTGTTCAACCTGGGTGGCACTGTGCTCTATCTGTTCTTAGGAAGAATGGGGACAATACTGGCATGGGAGAGGCAGAGATCCCTCCAAGCAGCCAGTGGATAGATTTTAAGGGGTCTATGAACTTAGGGGAAAATGACATAATTGTTTTCACCAATCTCTAACTGAAATTTAGCATTTCCTTTCGTTTAAAAACAGGATTCTGGGGCAGCTTGGTGGCACAGTGGATAGAGGTCTGGCCTTGAAGTTAGAAGGACCTGAGTTCAAATCTGGTCTCAGACATTGCCACTTACTAGCTGTGTGACCTTGGGCAAGTCACTTAACCCCAATTGCCTCACAAGAAAAAAAAAGAAATAAAAGCAACCTGAATATAAAAGGTCATGAAAATTAAATTTAAAAAAAAACATGAAAAAATGATTCTGAGAAGGGGTCCATAGTTTTTACCAGATTGCCAAAGGAGTCCATGACACACAAAAGGTTAAGAACCCCTGGTCTAGTCTATCTCCTTTAAATAATCCTAGTTTACTTTTGTATGTGATGTTTAGTATCCTCTTCCCTAAGGAAAAGTAGCTGCATCAGACTGAGAACCACTTTGTATTTGTCTTTGTTTTGTGGGTTTCCATGACCAAAACCATCTTCATCATCAAGTGACCAGCCTCCCATATTGGGCTTCCACATGCTTAGCTAGGTTGGTCTCCAGAAAACAGACTGTGGTACTGGGGTCCTATTTGAAGCCTTTCCGTGTGGTAGACCTTGCCATAGCTTACTCTCTGCCACCATTGCCTTCAAGAACCCAGGGTCATCACCATGCCATGATGAGACATTGGGCAGGACTTTGTGAATCTTATATTTATACGGCACTTCATGCCCCATTAAGCATTTTACACCCATGATATAATTTGATCCTCCCCATAATCCTGTCAGATAAACAGAGAAAGTACTACTATTGATGTTTTAAAGATAAAGAAAGTGAGGTCCAGAAAAAGGAAGTTCCTCATTGACAGACAGTTAGTTTAGGTGACAGAACTGGGAGAAAACCACACAATTTAACACTTGGTTATATACTGCCATGCAGTGTTCTCAAGCTTTCATGGAATTGATTTTTGTGTCCAGAGTAAAATGGTAAGCTCCCCAAGGGCAGGGGCCATAGTTTTAGTATCTCAAACAGAATTTAGGGGAAAAAAATGACTGGTATTCTTTCTGCCGTAATGTATTGTTTCTTACTGCTAAATCTTTCTATGTATGAAGGAGGAAAAGAAGCCTCATGAAGAGTATTGACCATAGGACTCAGGAGATCTGGTGACTTTTTTTTTTATCTTTTAAAAAAAAATTTAACGTGTGTTTTTAAAATTTTGGGTTACAAATTTTCTCCCTTCCTCCCTCCCCACCCACCCTCATTGAAAAGGCAAGCATCTAGATATAGGTCATAGATATGTAGTCATATAAAACACTTCCATAGTAGTCCTGTTGTGAAAAACTAAGTATATTTCCCTTCATCCTATCCTACCCCCATTTATTCTATTGTCTCTTTTGACTCTGTCCCTCCTTAGAAGTGTGCTTTTGATTATCCTCTTCCCCAATCTGCCCTCCTCTCTATCAACCCCTTGCTCTCTTGTCCCCTTCCCCCCTTATTTTCCTGTATGGTAAGATAGATTTCCATACCTCATTGTGTGTGTTATTCCCTCCTTAAGCCAAATCCTATGAGAATAAGATTCACTCATTCCTTCTCATCTTCCCCCATTTCCCCTCCACTGTAAAGGCCTTTTCTTGTCTGTTTCATGTGAGATAATTTACCGCATTCTCCTTCTCCCTTTCTCCTTCTCCCAGTATAATCCTCTCACCCCTTAATTTTATTTTCCAGATATCACCCCTTCATCTTCAATTCACCCTGTGCCCTCTATCTATCTATGTATACATACACACATATAATTTTTTCCCCTCCCACTACCCCAAGGGACTCATGAGTTACAAACATGATCTTTCCCTGCAGAAATGTAAATAGTTTGAGACCTGGTGACTTTGACATTAACCTGCTTACTGAATTGGAGAAAAACCACTCAGCCTAATCCCAAGTTTCTTCATCTGTAAAATGAGGATGATAATATCTACCCAGGAATGTGGAGAGGCAGCCTGGTATAATAGACAGTGCTGGCCTTGGAGTTAATAAAAACTGATTTCAAATCCCAACTCAGACCATTACTAGAACCATGATCCTAGGCAAATAACCTCTCTTGTTCTCAGTTTCCTCATCTGTAATATACAGATAATAATGGAACAAGTATGCTTTTTTAAAAACTTAAAGTGCTATATAATGGTCAGCTAAAAAAGTTATTGTTTAACTGAGGGTCTAAGCTAATATGTAAGGTGTTTGAAAATGTGTTTTATTAAGTGTTATGTTTTCCCCTGCTACCCATTTTTTTTCAATCATCATCAATCATTTTCATAATGACTTGGTACTTTTAAAAAAATGACTTAGAAATGCCATTCCAAAGAATGTACACATGATAAACCTGTTTCTTCTCCCAAAAGGTCCCCTCCTGGTGTGTGGTGTGGCAAAAGCATGTATTACATAGTAAGCATGAGTCCATGTCCAAGTTTGCTTGTCTCTCTACAAAGGAAGCAGGACACAGACCCAGGGTACCAGTTGACTCAGAAGAGTTTCCAGCAGCTATGGCTTAAAGTACAAAATGTAAAGATTGTCACCACTCCCTGCTTCACTCCCAGTACTACAAATCAAACGATCCATTTCCTTATGATAGGGGTTGGTCCTGCCCATGGATGCTTGCCTCTTACTAGCCATGTGACTGTGGGCAAGTCATATATGTTCTCTGAGCTTCAGATTCTTAATCTGTAAAATGGTGATAATACCTCCCAGAGTGGATTTGAGGAAAGTGCTCTGTAAATTGCAAAGTGCTCCATGTACCAGCCATCATCATCATAATTATTAAATTATACAAATCATGAGTAAAAAGAAGTCATGCTGTTGGCCACCACCATTTTAACTGAGAGCACAACTTTTGGGAGGATCCAGAAGAACACATTTTGCCTGGGTAAAAGATTAGGGGTGAGGTGTCATTGAAGGACTAGGGGTATATGCCAAACAATATTAAGGAGAGCTCTGTACAGTTTTCATATGCTTACATTTGGAAGGGACCTTGGAGGTCATTTGGTCTAATCACCTTATTTTACAGGTGAGGAATATGAGGCTGAGAGAATGTGACTTGTCCAAAGACACTCAGTGCCAGTGGCAGAGCTGAGATTTGAACCCAGATTTTCTGACTCCAAATTCAGTACTTCTTCCACTACCCCATGCTACTTTCTTCAAACAGTGTTGGCCAGTTGGTAAGAGCAGTAACAGGCAAGAGGGAAAGGAGTGGAACATAGGAAAAAGCCTTAGATGGTCTGTGCAACGCTCTTGACGTTCAGAGAATAGAGATTGTATAGTAGTGGGTGCTCTGTTACAAGCAATTTTTGTTCATACTCTTTCACTGTATTTGGGCCACCAAGCATCTGGTGGCAGGTTAATAACCATAAAAAGAAGCCATTCAGCAAACGCCAACTTGTAGGAAAAGAATCAAGTTGGATGAATATCTCTCTCTCAAGGAATGAACACCCCAGGTTGATGCTTCTCAGATGAATCTGCTGAGCTTGCGCAAGCGCTTTCTTAGCCATTTATCAATATTCTTGTATTTATTTTTTAGATAAATAAGATAAATGACATCATGATCGAAGACAATAAAGAGAACAAAGACCATTCCTCAGAAAGAGATAGAGCTGCTTTCATTTTTTCCTTGAAGAATGAGGTGGGAGGACTTGTAAAAGCTCTGAAGCTCTTCCAGGTCAGTGAACTTCCTGTCTTTGTGAAATAGAAATCTTTAAAATTAGCTTGAAATGTGCTGTTGGGTTTAATGCATCTTCTCCTGAGGGGGGATACAGAGAACTCTTAGAACAGCCCTAGAAATGAATCCTTTCCTCTCACTTCCAAACCAACAAATTCAAATTTTCTTCCCCACCCATGAGCCTTCTATTCTTTATTCCAAGATGGACCCTACCTAACTAAACTAATTTACCATTAATCCTCAACCCATAGTCTTTGCTCCTTCCATTCCTATCCCCTCACCATTATTTGCACGTGCCAGGCTCATTTCCCTCCCCTACCCTTTTGTCATGTCATTCCCCCTGCCTTGAATGTCCTTCCCTCATCCAAATCCTATCCACCTTTCAAAGCCTATTTTCATTCCTAAGTTCCATGAAAGCTTTCCCTGAAGACCACAGCCCTTAGGGAACTGTCTTCCAAATTCTGATTATATTTAGTCTTTTTCTCACAGTTTAGGACCCTGTCTCTGTCTCTCTGTCTCTTTGGCTCTTTCCCCCAATAACAGAGATAAAGACATACATTGATGCCTGATTATATCCAACTTGATTTGACCCCAAACTAGAAGGCACAACAAATATATTATAGAGTCAAGATCCAAAAAGATCTTGGTAGGCTAGAAAATTGGGCTAAGTCTAAGATGATGAAATTGAGTGGGTATAAGTGTAAAGTCCTACACTTAGGTTAAAAAAAAATCAGTTTTAGTAATATAAGATGAGGGAGGCATGGACATATAGAAGTTTGAAAAAAAGATTTAGGAGTTTTAGCGGGATGCAAGCTTAGTATGAATCTATAGTGTTGTGTGATGACCAGCATAGCTAATTCAGTCTTAGGTTATATAAAGAAAAACACAGTATCTAGGATTAAGAAGTGATAGCCCCACTGTACTAAACACACTACCACTGAAGAACTAAGTTCATTTCTATGCCGCTCTGAGCAAGATAGACAGATAGACAGATATACTGATCGATAAGTAGATGGATTGATCTATCAGTTGATTGATAGATAAAGCATTTATCATGGCCTACATTTATGCAAAGGACTGGGATACGAATAAATCCCTTTTAAGATTTAGGGGGAGAAGACAAGCAAGTCAATCATTGAAGATAATACTGGAAACAACTTTGTTGCCCTTTCATTTGTCATTTTGTAAATAAAATGAAATTTTAAATGATCATAAAATTGGCTATTATAAATTTAGTCAAAAGATTGTTCATTATTGAGAGAATTTCAAATGATTTTCGCTCACTGATTTAAAACAGGAGAAGCATGTGAATTTGGTGCACATCGAGTCCAGAAAGTCAAAGAGAAGAAACTCAGAATTTGAAATTTTTGTTGACTGTGATACCAGCAGAGAACAACTGAATGACTTTTTTGACCTATTGAAGTCCCATACGAATGTACTGTCTGTGAATTCACTTGATGCTTTTTCTGTGCAGGAAGATGGTAAGTCTGAAAGAGAAGATATTCCCTAAAAGAACAAATGAGTTGTATTTTCAGTGGTTCATCAAGCTTTTGTTGCTCGTGGGCACCTCCTGTAGAGACACGCCTCATGTTTAACGCGTTGGGATGGTATCAGCAACAATAATGGAAAGCCAAAGCTGAACAGGTCTTTGATCTCCAGGAACTCGCAGACTAGTGGCAAGATACGGCATAGAGACATACAACTAGAGAATAGTCTCAAGGCCATGTCAGACACAAATATCTGGCAGCAAACACAATTCAGCACAACTTCAACTCTTGGCGTATGTGATGAGAGGGCATGGAATTTCATAAAGGGAGTTAATCAGGAAAGACTTTCTGGAGGAAATAAATTTTGAGTTATTGTTGAAGAGATTAGGTCGGGGCTATGGCATCGTTTGGGGAAGATGAATGGGAACCACATTGCTTCTTGACTTCAGCTTGTTCTTTTACTTCATTTCTATGAAAGTGAAAACCAAATGGCTCTCATAGAGGAAGTCTTCAGCAGAAGAAAACTAATTTCTAATTGTTTGTGTCCAAATCATCCTGGGTTTTGACATCCAGGTGTTCTCTCACCAGAGCCAGCACCCTTTCCACTGTACCATCTTGCTTCTTAAATAATTTGCTCACAACAACAGTGCAAAAGAGGCATTGCAAGTATTATAATCTCCATTTTATGTATGAGAAAACTTAGAGAGAGACTTGCTCAAGGTCATATAACTAAGTAGTACCAGAGCCAGAATTCAAACCCAGGACCCTCCTGACTTCAAATTTAGCCCTCATTCTACTATATTGCACAATCTCTTACTACAGCACACAGCCTCTTAGGTAATCAAACACACTATCTAATGCCTTTTTCTTGCTTTAGTGCCTCATGGAAGACTATTGCCTCACAACTTTTTGGGTTTTTGTGCTTGCAGATATGGAGACTGTTCCCTGGTTTCCAAAAAAGATTTCTGACTTGGACAAATGTGCCAACAGAGTTCTGATGTATGGGTCTGAGTTAGATGCTGACCATCCTGTAAGTAATTAAGAGGAAAGCTTCCTGCAAAAACAACTTTTAAAATTCTCAGCAGTTTTGTTGAGAAAGCAACAGGCTGTTTTTAATATGCTGGAGATTTGTTCTAATGCTGGTTTGGGAGGGAAGGGTTGGTAGTTACCCATATGGTGAGATGTAGGGATATCACATGTCATTGCCTGCCCCTAGATAACTTTCTACTACTGGGCTTGAAATACTATCTTTTGGGTTGGATTATGAAGGCATAGGCAAAATATAGTAAGGAGTAGAGGCAAATATTCAGATGATTTTGACCTCAAATTCCTAGGATCATATTTTGAGATCTGGAAACAGATCTCAGATGCCATTTGGTTCAATCTCTTCATTTGGTAGATGAGGCCCAGAAAAGTTGGCTTGCCCAATATTATGTAGGCAATATACTAGACGGCAGCTGAGTGGCACAGTGAATAGAGGGCTAGGCTTGGAGTCAGGAAGACTCATCTTCATGAGTTCAAATGCACTTACTAGCTGTGTGACCCTAGCAAGTCACTTAACCCTATTTGGCTCAGTTTCCTCATTTGTAAAATGTGCTAGAGAAGGAAATGGCAAAATGTTCTTGTATCTTTACCACAAAACCCCCAGAAGGGTCACAAAGAGTCAGACACAACTGAAAAACAATAGAACAGCAACAGTGAACAGTCGTCAGAGGTGAGATATGAACCCAGAGGGCCTGACTCCAGAACCAGGGCTCTTTCAACTGTACCGTGCTGGTCATCTAGTCCACTCCCCTGTGCCCATTGTGTAGATGAGGAAACTAAGACCCAGAGAGGTTGTGACTTACCCAAGGTCAACAGGTATTAAATATTAGAGCTGGGATTTGAACTCAAGTTCTGTGAATCCAAATGCAAACCTCTTTACACCATACTTCATTGCTCTTTAGGAAAAAATAACACTGGTGTAGGGTCATGCTTGATTATTTGTTCTCTCTGAACTTAACAAAAGTTTTTAGCTTAGTGGTGCAATAAAAAGAACTCTAGGCTTAGCGTCAGGAAGCCCTGAATTCAAATTCAGCCTCCACCACTTACTAGCTGCATGACCCTAGGTAACTCATTTAACCTCTGTTCACCTCAGTTTTCTCTTCTATAAGACGAGGATCATAATAGCACCGGCCTTCCTAGGTTGTAAAGATAAAATAAGATAATATTTGTAAACTTTCTTGCAAACCTTAAAGCACCATATAAATGCTAGTTATTTTAATTTTTAATATTTGTTAACTAATATAGTAGTTAAAATTAAAACATTTTAAAATATGATTTCAAAAAACTTATGCCTAACATACAGAGGAGATTGTATAGTTTTTCATCTAGTATTGACATGAAACTAAAAGTATTTTAAAATATTGAAATATATTTTCTCTTTCCAAATCTCAGGGTTTCAAAGACAGCATGTACCGTAAAAGACGAAAATATTTTGCAGACTTGGCTATGAATTACAAGCAGTAAGTTTATGATTAAAAAATATACCTAACTTTGAAACAGTAGTAAAGTAACACATGGAAAACGAACGGTCTTTGTTTACCGATTAACCAAATTGAAGCTAGTAAAAATCAATGTTAATTATACTTTGTTTTAAATTCAAAACAGTATCTGTGTTTCATCTCATTTAGTGGTGACCCCATCCCTAAGGTTGAATTCACTGAAGAAGAGATAAAGACTTGGGGAACTGTGTTCCGAGAGCTCAATAAACTCTACCCAACCCACGCTTGCAGAGAATATCTCAAAAACTTACCTTTGCTGTCTAAATGCTGTGGGTATCAGGAAGACAACATCCCTCAATTGGAAGACGTCTCACGCTTCTTAAAAGGTGACATGTTTCTGTTCAGTGTAAAGAACTGCCATACTGCATAATAGCTATGCTATTTTCTTAATATTAGAAGTATAAAATTTTGCAAAGAAGAGTGAAAAGAATACAAACTTCTATATATCTTTGCAAAAGAAATACATGGTGGGAAGTAAAATTATGTGACCCCAAGGGGAGGCACCTCTGGAGCAGTGGTATTTCGCATTGTTATTACCTTATTTGTATATTTTCAATGGAGTTCAAATAGCAATAATTCTGAGACCCAGTTGCTATTCTGCTATTTAAATATATATATATATATATATATATACACACACACACACACACACACATATATATATATATATTTAATAGTGAGTAAACTACTAGGGTGGTGGATTAAGTGGCTAGGGGACTCAGTGCAAAGAGTGATGAATTTGGAGTCAGGAAGAACTGAGTTAAAACCAGCCTCAGACACTTACTACCTGTGTGACCCTGGGCAAGTCACAAGGTCTTTCAGCTTCAGTTTCCTCATCTGCAATAAGGAGACAATAATAGCACCTACTCTGTAGGGTTGACGTGAGGATCAAATGAGGTAACACATGTAAAGTGCTTTGCAAATCTTACACCACTATATAAGTGCTAGCTCTAATAATATATGATGGTAATAAGTCATAATATAATATACAACAATAATATAGTTTAGTGCTGTCATTTACGTGGGTATCCCCTCCACCAGCTACACAATTTCAGGAGGGATGTAGATCAGAATTCACACACAGATGACAGTAATGAGAGAGAGCGAGGAAGTTTAGAGATCAACTTTCTGATGTTAAATGTAAGGAAGGAAGCCATGGTCTCTCACCAAGTGTCCCTTGATGTCATTGTCAGAGGTAAAATATTGAGATCCAAAGGACCTTTTGATCTGGGCATCTAGATGGTGCAATGCGATAGAGCACTGGGCCTAGAAGCAGGAAGACCTGAGTTCAAATCCAACCTTAGACACTTACTAGCTATGTAACTCTGGGCAAGTCTCTTAGCCCCCATTTTCCTCATCTATAAAATGGGGATGATAATAGCACCTATCTCCCATGGTTTTTGTGAGAATTAAATAAGATAACTGTGAAGCACTCAGTACAGTGGCTATCTGTATATATAAATACATATGTATATATACACACACATATAATATATAGTGATAGGTACTATACATATGTTTATATATAATATACAAAATTATTACATGTTATAACATATATAAATATTAATTATTATTATCATTACAATCTTACTCAGAATGAAAATGCTGAGCATTTCTTCATTATATTTCAGAGCGCACAGGTTTTTCCATCCGTCCAGTTGCTGGCTACTTGTCACCAAGAGACTTCTTAGCAGGTTTAGCATTCCGCGTTTTTCACTGCACTCAGTATGTGAGACACAGTTCACACCCTCTCTATACTCCAGAGCCGTAAGTATTATTGCTTGACAGTGACAAAATCTTCATTCTGTAGAGTTCAGATATTCAACAAACGTCTTGGCAGCATAATGGATAGAATGCAGGGTGTGGAGTTACGAAGACCTGAGTTCAAATCCTGCATCTCAGACACTTGCTAGCCTCTTGGCACTTCAGTATCCTCATCTGCAGAATGAGAGGATTGGGCCCAGTGACCTCTAAGATCCCTTTCATCTCTAAATTTATATAGGATCATAAATTTCCTCTTTGTGCCTCAAGCAACTCCCTAGTAATCATATGCTAAGTCAATGATCAATGGGTTTTGATATCTATTGGTGGAGGGAGTTGCAACATTGGGAGTTCCCCACTCTGAGTAAATCATAGATCCTCACCTCAGCAAATACAGTAATTGTATGTGCCTTTATGCCCTTTGGGATCCAATGCCAGAGTTAATATCACATAATCCATTAGAATTAAATCCACTGAAGCTACCTTTTGACTCCTAAGCTATTAAATGTCCAGTCTTACCTTGTGGGGTGAAATTAAAATAATGTTTAAAAATTATTTTCTACTGAATCAAAGTCAATAGTTACACACTCATATTCTGCTTTGTCAGCAAGTATCATGGTGTGCTATGCTTAATTCTATTTATTTTTCAGGGATACCTGTCATGAACTCTTGGGTCATATCCCTCTTCTGGCCGAGCCTAGCTTTGCTCAGTTCTCCCAGGAAATTGGCTTGGCATCCCTTGGAGCATCAGATGAGGCAGTGCAGAAGCTGGCTACGGTATAGATCTGAATATTTCTAGCTCTGTGGTCCTATTTTCCAGGATATTAGTAGTTGGCATGCACACAACTGCCCTACTTAAAATGATTGGACTTGGTGCTTAAGAGCATGATGTAATGTTGTTTAAAGGGTGATTTGGGGACCAATTTAACAAATACCTTTTTTGTGCTTTTTTTTTAAAGTGTTACTTTTTCACTGTGGAATTTGGCTTATGCAAACAAGGAGGACAGCTGAGAGTTTATGGTGCTGGGCTACTCTCTTCCATCAGTGAACTTCAAGTAAGAGCCATATGGATTTGCATTTTTTCATTTCTTTTATAAACAGGACTTGAAGTATTTGGGTGAATTAAATAGGCACCCACTCTGTAAAGCACATGGAGGGACACGGAACATGTCCTTGGGCAGAAGCTACATAAAGATCTTAGGTAGACTGAGGTACCATTTCTCCAGCAGGATTTTTAAAAAATTCTACCATTATTCCATAGTTAACATCCTAAGTTTCCATCTACATGTATCCAGGACAGGGGTTCTTGACTGTTTTTAATGTCATTTTTTAAATTTATAAATGCATGTTAAAAACAATAATGGTTTTTAAAAGCATAACATAAAATATTTAGAATTACAAAGGAAACCAATTATGAATTATGATGAAATACAGTCATCAAAATTTTAAAAAATTCCACCAAGTTAATGGACCCCAGGTTAAGAACTATATCATCTAGAGGAATCTAATTAGAAGATGAGAGACAGAATTGTATGATGGGTAGAGTGCTGGACTTGGAATCAAGAGGACCTGGTTCAGATCCTGCCTTAGATACTTGCAAATTGTATGACTTCAGACAAGCCATTTAGCCTCTCTGCGCTTCAGTTTCCTTATTCATGAAATGGGGAGAGGGGTTGGACTTAGTGACCACAAAGATTCCCTCCCAGATTTAAATCTTTGATACAATTTGCTGATCTTTGGCCCTAAGAATGTTGACGGAAGTTTTTTTGAAGCTATCTCTTAAGATGTTAAGTGTGGATCTCTTTGAGGGTGAAATGTCATTTTCTGATAGAAATAACCCATATTTATCTGTCCACAACCAACCTAGAAAATAATCTATTATTATTATTATTGTTATTACTAAAGCAAATAGGAGGGGTCATTTGGTAGAAAGGTTTTCCTTGGAATCAGAAAGATCCGAGTTCAAGTTCTGATTATGACACATGCTGACTGTTACCCTAGTCAAGTTTGTTAGCACTGCTCCCTTCCTGCTTTTTCACCTATAAAATAGGAATAATAATAAGTCAATAAGCATGTACTAAGTGCTGACTATGTATCAGACACTGTGCTATGCTCTGGGGTTACAAAGAAAGGCAAAAGATAGCCCCTGGTCTCAAGGATCTCACAGTCTATTGGAGGAGACAACATGAAAAGAACTATGTATAGTGTGTGTATGTATGCATATATGTGTGTCTGTCTATCTAATACATATAATATCATCTATCTATCTATCTAGCTATATGATATATATGATATGCTATATGATAATATATCATATGATATATATATATATAATCATATGATATATAGCTAGCTATATGATATATTGGGTGTAGTTTCAGAGAAAGGATGCTAAGATTAAGGTGTCTTGGAAAAAGCTTCTTGTAGAAGGCAGGAGTTTAGGTGAGACTTGAAGGAAGTCAGGGAAGCCAGGAGGTTGCAATGAGGAGGTCAAGTCAGTTCAACTTCCTGGGCCTCAGTTTCCTTATCTGTAGAATGAGAGGGTTGGATTACCTGGCCTCTGAGGTCCCTTCCAGCTCTTGAGCTATGATCCTATGTTTCTTAACATGAAATCTTTTAATTCCTAGCATCTAGTGCAACTTAATTCATCAGGTACTTTTTGTAATGTATAATATTTTAAGAAATGCATTACAGTGTTGCATTCTTTGCTTTACTGATTCTGGGCTTGTCCCCTAGCATGCCCTCTCTGGACAAGCCAACGTGAAGCCCTTCGATCCAAACATCACCTGCAAGCAGCAATGTCTCATTACACTTTCCAGGAAGTCTACTTTGTGTCTGAAAGCTTTGAAGAAGCAAAGGAGAAGATGAGGTAGAGTTTGTCTGTCTCCTTCCCACATTCTCTTCTACAAAAGGCAGGCATGAGAATGGCAATTTAGAGTGATTAGGAGAACTATTGGATGATTGGGGGGGGTTTGGGGATAATTCCTATTCTGACTGTAACATTACAGTGAATTTCACTCTCATGCAGATATGGCTTCCCATGATCCTAGACGGACTCTCATTGTCCATTTATTCACAGTAAAGTGCTTGATAGCTTTTAGAATCCTTGGGGAGTCAACCACACAGAGACAGTTCAGGGGTAAAGCTACCAACCAGTTAATTTTTCTAGAAAGTCTGGGACAAGTGGGTGGTTTATTTGATTTGGACTTTCCTGCTTGTGCTTGTCATTCATTCATTCATTCATTCATTCATTCATTCATTCATTCATTTATCCATCCATCCATCTACCCACCCAATAAGCATTTATTAAAGAACTACTTACTAAATACCATGCACCAGTAGATACAAAAATGAAAGAGTCTTTACCTTTACAGATCTTACATTCTGGCAAGGAAAATAATATGTACATAGAAAATTAAATATAAAATATATACAAGTAATTTTGGAAAGGGTGGGAGGAGGGCCCTAGCTACTGGGAAGGCATCAGGATAGGCATGCAATAGAAGTTGTCACTTGATTTGGGTTTTGAAGGAAGCTGCAGATTCTGTGATGTGGAGGTGAGAAGGGCATGCATTTTAGGCACAAGAATGGACCTATGTCTGGGCATAAGAATATATTCAGAAACCTTTGTGTGCATGGTGAACAATGGCAAGCCAGAATGTGTGTACCTTTATTGAGAGAAGAACTCAAGCCAAATAGGACACTGCCCATTAACAGTGGTGGTATGAAAATGTTGATTACACTTATTCATATTTTAGGTAGTTTTCTTCAACTTTCCTGGAAATTGATTTGTTCTCTTTGTTGCTATTTCTTTAGAGAATTTGCAAAAACTATCAAGCGCCCTTTCGGTGTGAAGTACAACCCATACACACAAAGTATTCAGATTCTGAAGGACACCAAGAGCATCGCCAGCGTGGTCGATGAACTTCGACATGAACTTGATATTGTCAGTGATGCCCTTAATAAAATGGGCAGACATTTGGATGTCTAAAGCTAGGAGGATATTCCCTACCAACTCAAGAGTGATTGGTCCTAGGTAGGATTGGACTACTGCAGAGGACATTGGATATTTCCATAGAGGCCCATGAGATAGCCCATTTGTTTCAAGAGCTAAGAGGTGGCTGAACTAGCTGGCTACCAAACATAATTCTTAACCTCAGTGATGTCACAAGATGTTATTAAGCAATCCCTAGAAATTTTTATATAAAAGCTCTACCTGGCTAATCTGCAGGGATTTGTCTGGCTCCACAAGTAGTTGAATCCTACTTCTAGGAATAGGAAAAAAGACTATTTTCTCCACAAAATATTTTTCCTCCTTTGAGCAAAGTAACTAGGCTCTCTGTAGTATGGACTGCCAGATGGGTGTCTTCATTTGAACTCATGCAGAAACATCTGACCTCCTTAAATTTATGATGCTTATTACTTATTGTAGAATTTGAGACTTCCTAGAACCCTGCCCCAAGGCACAAGTCATATTCCTATGTTTAGGTTGGGGAAGGTATTGCCTGGACTGATGATGCCCATTCTGGAGTTATGGAGAGCCCTGGGGTCTCAAATGATACTTAATCCAGTATAGGGGGTTCTGGCAACACATGATCAGGTGGTAAAAAGTCCTGTAGTAGATTCTTTAATATCTCATCACTTTACCAGGTAGAACATTAAAGTTCAATTGTGAGTGATCATGCTCTTACCCAAAAGTATTCAGTGGCTCTCTGCTGGCCTTCAGGATAATCAGATGACAGAGTCAAAACGATCTTAGGGGTCATCTATGATATCTTCCTTCCCTTTTTTCACATGGTGAATTGCTGCTCACTCTACCCCTACCAGGAACATGAATTTTGTCTTTAGTATTCCTGACCACTAGTCATTCATCATCTACACAATCATCTCTGGCGATGGAGAACTAACCACTTCTTGGGGAAACCTGTCTTATTCTTGGTCATCTCTATCATCAGGAAGTTCTTTCCAATTAAAATCTGCCTTTTATAACTTCCACCCATCAGTCTAGTTCTATTTTTGGAAGTGGCACAGAATAACTCTATTCATTCTTTCCTTAATGGCACAGTAGAAAAAGCAGAGGGTCTGTAGTCAGAGAGTGTGGATTCAAATCCTAACTCTAATGATTGCTGCCTGTCTGATTTTAAGTTCCTTGGGCCTCGGTTTCCTCATCTGTAAAATGAGGAGGTTAGATTAGTGGTCTCTGATTTCCCTTTCAGCTGTAGGTCTATGATCTTATGGTCACGGTCTCCCTAGTTCTTTTCTTCTCTGGAAAAACACCACAATAACATCACCTCCAGTTTCTTCAACTCATTCTTATGTGGCATAGTTTGCAATCCATTCATCCTGACTGCTCTTTTTGTGGTAGGTTCCAACTTGTCAGTATTTCCCCTAATATGGGCATAGTCAAACTCTCATCTTCTTTAATTTGTCAAATATTTATTAAACAACATTACTATTAAGCAGAGTAATGTGCTAAGTGTTTAGAGAAAGAAAGTTTAGCCAAGACATGGTTCTTTCTCTTATGGCTTTTGCCAAAGCTAAAGTTTAAAAGGAAGATGAGACACGTACATAGCTAAGTGGAATATTCACACTTCACAAATAAAACAAATGCAAAATAAATTCTTCCATTAATTAGGCATAAAACAAAGTGCTTCCTTAGCCCCAAGAGGGAAAGGGTCATTTTAAAATTGTGGCAGAGGGATCAGGGAGAGCTCTATGGAAAAGGTAGCATTTGAGTTGTTACAGAGTGAGAGGCAATCCACCAAGTGAAAAAAGGGAAGGAGGATATCATAGTCAGAAGGAACAGCATGAGCAGAGCCAGGAAAACAGGTGGGTGCAGGGGATTTGACAGGGGTGTAGTGTCTCTGCAGGAGAAAAACAGCAGAAACTACTAGGAAGATAAGGTTTGTTTCAGACTATGGGCTGCTTTGAGTGCCAGGCAGAGAAATGTGAATTTGGAGGCAATGGGCAGTCAATGAAGATTTTTTGAGCAGGGGAATGGTATGAGTATACCCATGCATAAAAGAGATGTCTAGCAGTGCTCTGAAGCATAATTGGAAAGGGAATAGAGTAGAAGACATAAGACCTATTAGTAAGGTAACAGTTGGGTGGTAACATGTGCCTGTACGAGGATGGTTACCATAAGAAGAGAGGAAAGAGGATGAATATTCTGGACACCAGGATTCTGTTAAAGTAGTTCAAGATTAGCCTTTATAGCAGCCTCATCAAACAGTGATAAGAACCCAGTTTCTTTTCCACGTGAACAACTGTTCCTTCACACCTCCCTACATTCATTATCTAACTTAAGAACAGGACTTTACATTCATCCCTTATTAAATTTCAACTTGTTATATAGAATCTATTATTCAACACTTGACTTTTTGGGGAATTTTAACTCAGTGGTCCAAAAAATGAGCAGTCCCAATATTGTGTCATGAGCAGATTTGATGAGCATGCAATCTATGTCCCCATCTAAGTCATTGCTTAAAATGTTGCCTAGAAGAGGGCTGAGAGACAGAGACAACATTACAGGTTGACATTAGTGCGCTAATTAGTTCTTCTTGGTTCAGTCTTTCAACCAGTTATGAATCCAGCCGAATACTGTTCAAAAGAATGTCTTGAAAAGTTTTTCTGAACGCCTTGGTGAAATACAGGTGTGCTGTGTCTACACCTTTCCCTTGATCTACCTGTCAAGAAAGGAATGAGGTTAGTTTGATCTCACTTGGTGACCTCAAGCTGGGTTGCAGGTATCATCACTTGCTTAAGTGCTTATGAACCACTGCTTAAAAATCTATTCTAGAACATTTTTTTGAAGATAGATGTAAAGCTTGTTGGTCCATGTTCTGTTCAATCTACTCTATTTTTTTAATTGAGGCAACATTTTTTCAAACTCCAGTTATAGAATTACAGAATTTGAAAGGGCTTCAGAGCCCACCTAATCCAACCTATCTGTAAACAAAAGATCTTGTCTTCAGCTTCTTTCAAAAGATCCTTAGCTCAGCAGTCTCCCTTTCTAGGTGTTTTGGTACTCTAAGCAACAGTTTGCCAGTCCTGTTGACTTGAACTCATTGAGGACTGCTAGACACTCTCTTTAGCGTCTCCTTACTTATCTTGAGCCTCAGCTCTCCCAAACCCAATTTTTTTGTTCTTTCCATCCTAGTCTAATGTCCATATTTCCCAGAGGAAAAAAACCCCCAACAAAATAGTAGAAGTAGAGTAGTTCTACCTTCTCCCTTTCTCTATCATCCCATCTATCCTGAGCAGCAATTCTATTTTGCCTTTGATCTTCCTCTTTACTTCCAATCCAGGACAGAGACTGGACCTGTGATTTCATTGCTACGTGGAACTCCCAGATGAGGAAATTTCCTCTAATAATGCAGAGTGACACTTTCTCTAGAACTTAGTTTTAGAGGGTTGCCTGGTGCTCTGACTTGCCCAGGGTCACATAGCCAGTAGATGTTCAAAGTAGGACTCAAGCTTTCCATACACCAGGGTCAGCTCTCTATCTAGCACATCATACCCAACTTCCAACATCCCTTAAAAGGTGGCCTGTCATCCTTTGTGTTCCTCACCAGCCTCAGCTCCTTCACAGCCTTGGTTTTCCTGCCACTTTTTATAGCACTATGGTACTTTTATTTTTATTTTGTCCATTCATCCTACTTTTCCTGCAGGTTCTATGGACATAAACACAGCCTTTTTAGTTTGTATTGTCATCACTGATCCCCCAAACCCAAATCAACCAAATACTCCTTATTTTTATTGCTAACAATTATCATTATGTTATGGAGGAATATTACTTAAGACAGATTAGTAAAACTATAGTCATTCATTTAAAATGGAAAGAATGCTCAGTCAAGGGCATTGACAGATACCAGTGTTCTATAATTCCATGTGATTGCTATGACAGTGACCAGGCTTATTGAGAAAGAATGCTGATTCCTTCTACCCATCCTCCAGTTTTGGATGCTATATTAACACAAACTTTGTCCTTAAATGTTCAAGCGCTGTGCACTAGAATCTGACTCATTCAAAGTAAATACAAGGCATTCCTTAAATGAAGCCTAGAGTTTTGATTTTCTTAAAGGGATAAATTTTATACATGTTAAAACTAAAAAAAAATTGTACTTTTCACTTATATTAATATATTGATGTGCATTGAGACATTCATTTCAACCTAATTTCTAGATACTTCAGTTGACTTAGTTTTACAATAGAAATAGTAAGAACCTTTGTTTCAAGGAAGTGTCTTTTCTCAAATTGCATGAGAAAATGAAAGCATAATGTTTCCCACGTGTTGCTTCCCATCTTTGCATTGATTGGATTTTTGGTTTAATAGCATGATTTACCTATTAGAAATACTACATCTCAGTAGGATAATTGAAAAGCCTTTAAAATATTGTGTGCTAATTAATAAGTTCATTTTGATAGTAAGAATATCTGTTGTAAGTAAAATCAAACTGGCTTTTGCAGGTGATTACATACTTGGTCTATTCTATTTACAAATTGTAAATCGGTGTAGATAGGTAATCTAAAAATGTAAAACGACTGCATTCAAAATCATGTCATGATTACAGCTTGTTGGAACCAAAAGTTAATTTTAAACATTTGGAATTAAAAAGCAAGCAAACAAACAATATGATGAACCTCTTCTCTTGGGATTGAACAGCTGCAGAATAACTACATAGGCTTAAACAGTTGCTTTCTATCCTTTTCACTGAGTTTTTACATCCCAGTAGACTTGGGCTGTTATGGGTTCTCTGTACTTTTCTGTACATTAACAATGTTTCAAGCACGTGGGAATCAAGAGCACATTGGCACTGAGAACCTCAAATATGGGGAGCGGTTTCACTAATTCAGTTGAGACCATGCACTAAGAACTGTTCACTACTTCCCAGAAGAAACGGGAAGCAGCAGTCACGTGACTTTTTGAAGGGAGTCGCCCACTAGCCAACATTTGTTGGAGTAGCAGCATTTCTTACTCCAGGAAATGTCACACTGATGCTGTTAAGTGGGCAGTTTTTACAATTTGCTTTAGTCTAAAAATGGAAACCATTAGACATTCTAGGTAGTTATCCACGCTATATACAACCTCTTGGCACACTGCAATGATGATCTGGCCCAATTCAGTGAGTTTCTGCTTATTGAAATTGTTGAATCCTTGCTTAGATTTTTGCTTGCCATGCTTTATATGTCTACTGTTCAAGTGGATAATAAATACTTGCAAAATTCAGATTCTCGGTCCTTATTTTATGCACCAAACATACATGTTGGGGTATAGGTCAACAATTTCATCTATTTATAGAGTGCATCACGACCAGGTCCCTTTAATGGCCTCCACTGCAGTGGAGGGATGTCTCTGGGCTACACATTCTCTGGAGCCTTCCCATCTTGACCGAGGCATGCATTGGTGTGTCAGCTGGAGGCAGACAGTCTAGAATTGGAACTAACTAGTCTCCAAAGGCTCTGACCCGGCACTTGGTTATCATAAACATTATCTAGACTAACCAGACCCAGCCTGAACTAATCAGTTACACCGTAAGTGTAGGAGCTTTCCACAGAAAGAGATCTGAATAGACTTGTTACATCAATCACTGTCCTCTATATCCCACTCTATCTGATGCTATCACTTCTAACTCAACTTTGCCGGAGCCCATGACTTGAGCAGGTGGGGTGAGGCATGTAGTCTTTAGGCCAAATGGAA